AAAAAAAGATATTGACTCTAACACTATTATAGCAAGGGACTTGAATATCCTACTAACAGCCCTAGATAGATCATCGAGGCAAAAAATCAACAAGCAGATCCAGAACCTAAACTTGACTCTCGACCAAATGGAGTTAATAGATACCTACCAATTATTCCACCCAACCACAGAATATACATTCTGCTCACCACCACATGGAACGTACTCCAAGATTGATCACATCCCTAGCCATAAATCAAGCATAAACAAATTCCATAACGTTGCTATGCACCTTCTCAGACCACAGTGGAATAAAAATAAATTATCAGCACCAACAAAATTTTCTCAAAGGCCACAAAGACATGAACACTAAACAGCATGATGCTGAACAACTACTGGGTGAACACTGAAATCAAAGCAAAAATTAAAAGATTCCTGGAAACAAATGAAAATGAAAAAATATCTTTCCAAAACCTTTGGGATACCATAAAATTAACTCTAAGAGGATAATATATATCTCTATGAGCACACATCAAGAAAATGGAAAGAACCCAAGGTGAGAGCCTAACAAATCACCTAAGGGAGCTAGAAAGAGAAGACCACCAAAACCCTAACTTTAGCAGAAGAATCCAAATCAACAAAATAAGAACCCAAATATGGGGCACAGAAAACAAAAATATAGAAACCATCAACAAAACAAAAGTTAGTTATTTGAAAAAATTAACAAGATTGATGGACCCCCTAGCCACAATGACCAAGAAAAAGAGAGAAAAAGACCAAATAAACACAATCAGAAATACAAAAGATCAAATCACAGCTGACCCCAAAGAAATACAAAAGATTATTAGAGATTACTATGTACACCTATATGGAACAAACTTGATAACCTAAATGAAATGGAGGACTTACTAATATCACACAACCTACCCAGGTTGAAACAAAAAGACATTGAGAAACTTAATAGACCAATAAAAATCCAGGAAACTGACTCTGTCATAAGAAAACTACCTACCAAAAAAAAAAGCCCTGACCAGATGGCTTTCGAGCAGAATTCTACAAAACATACAAGGATGAGCTGATACAAATCCTATTTAAAGTATTCCAGGCAATTGAGAAACATGGAATTTTCCCTAAATCATTTTACGAAGCTAACATCACAATGATACCCAACCGGGTAAAGATTCAACAAAAAAAGAGAACTATATGCCAATATCCCTTACGAACATAGATGCAAAAATACTCAACAAGATTCCAGCAAATTGGATCCAAAAACACATCTCAAAAATTATCCACCATGACCAAGTAGGCTTCATCCCCAGGTTGCAGGACTGGCACAACATCTGCAAGACCATAAATGTAATTAAACACATCAACAGATGTAAAAACAAGAACCACATGATTATATCAGTAGACGCAGAAAAAAGCTTTTGATAAAATGCAGCATCCTTCTTGATAAAAACACTCAAACAACTAGGTATAGAAAGACCATACCTCAAAACAGTAAGTGCCATCTACTATAAACCCACAGATAACATATTGCTAAATGGATAGAAACCAGAAACATTTCCCCTGAAAACTGGAACAAGACAAGGCTGCCCACTCTTACCCCTCTTGTTAAACACTGTGTTGGAAGTCCTACCTAGGGCAGTTAGACAAGAGAAGGAAATCAGAGGTATCCAAACAGGAAAAGAGGAAGTCATGTTATCCCTCTTTGCTGATGATATGATCCTATACCTTGAAAATCTAAAAGAATCTGTCAAAAACCTGCTTGCACTGATAAAGGACTTTGGTAAAGTCTCAGGGTATAAAAGAAATGTGCAAAAGACAGTTGCATTCTTATACACCAACAACAAACAGGCAGAGAACAAAATAAAAAGCACAATCCCATTCACAATAGCCACACACCAAAAAATGAAATGTCTAGGCATCTTCCTAACCAGAGAAGTAAAAGACCTTTACGACGAGAGATACAAAACACTGATCAAAGAAATCCAAGAAGACACAAACAAATGGAAAAATATTCCATGCTCATGGATAGGAAGAATCAACATTGTTAAGATGTCCATCCTACCAACGCAATCTACAGATACAGCACAATGCCCATTAAATTACCAACATCATTCTTCTCAGACCTGGAAATGACAATAGAGAAATTCATATGGAAACATAAATGACCATGAATAGCCAAAACAATCCTTAGCAAAAGAATCAAAGCAGGAGGTATCACATTTCCAGGTTTCAAACATTACTATAAGGCTACTATAATCAAAACAGTCTGGTATTAGTACAAGAGCAGGCATATAGACCAATGGAACGGGATAGAGATTCCAGAAGCAAAGCCTCAATTTCTCAACCAACTCATCTTTGACAAAGCCTCCAACAACCACTGGAGAGAGGAGAACCTATACAGTAAATGGTGCTGGAAAAACTGGCTGATCACATAACAGAAAATTGAAACAGAACTACCTATCATCATACACAAAAATTAACTCTAAATGGATCAAATATCTAAACATAAAACTACAAGAATCTTATAAAATGCAGGAGACACCCTTATGGAAATTGCAACTGGCAACAATTCCTGATCAAAACCCTAAGTGCCCATACTGTAAGAAATATGATAGAAAAGTGGGACCTCATCAAACTGACAAGCTTCTGCAAAGCAAAATAAACTGTCAAGAGAGCAGGGAGACAGCCCACAGAATGGGAAAAAATAGTTTCCATCTGTATATCTGACAAAGGCTTAACATCTAGGATCTACAAGGAACTCAAATGCGCCAAAAAGAAAAAAACAAACAGCCCCATTAAAAAGTGGGCAAAGACATGAACAGACATTTTTCCAAAGGAGATATACGGGCAGCCAACAGACACATGAAAAAGTGCTCAGCCTCATTCATCATCAGGGAAATGCAAATCAAAATCACATTGAGATACCACCTAACCCCAGTAAGAATGGCCATCATTAATAAAACAAACAACAACAGATGCTGGCAAGGATATGGAGAAAAAGGAACACTTCTACACTGCTGGTGGGAATGTAAACCAGTGCCACCTCCTTGGAAGACAGTGTGGCAATTTCTGAAAGAAGTAGAAATTGATCTTCCATATGACCCAGCAATCCCCCTATTGGGAATATACCCAAAGGAACTCAAATCATTCTACCACAAAGATACCTGCACACGCATGTTTGTTGCAGCTCTATTCACAATAGCAAAAACATGGAACCAACCATGCTGCCCACCGAAGCTGGACTGGATTTTAAAAATGCGGTACATATACACAATGGAATAGCATGCAGCCATAAAGAAGGGCAAACATATGAACTTCGCGGCCACTTGGATAGATTTAAAGTTATCATACTCAGTAATCTATCACAGAAACAAAGAACAGAGTACCATGTGTTCTCATTCATAAGTAGATCTTGAACAATTATCATAATACTATAAGAAAGGGATTGGCAGTAGTGGGAAACTGCCAGGGGAGGGAGTGGGACACCTCATCAACAAGGGTACCTGCATAATGAACATTTGCATACTTAACCCTGAATTGTACTCCACATCTTTAAAATAAAAAAATGTTAAAAAGAGACTAGAAATGCTTTTATGTGTGACAAAAATGCCCAGAGTGCCAATGGCTAATTCAGGCTATTTCTGAGTGATTTAAATGTAATTCAATTTAAATTATATTACTTTTAAAAAATCTTCACAAACATATCAATTTTGTGTCAGTATATTTTAAGAACCAATAAAATTTATTTTGTAAATTAAAAATAAAGAAACATGCTAAGAAAGGTAAAGCAACTTGCCAATCTTATGCAACTAATCAATAGTGGATTTAAGACTTAAACCTAGCTCTTCTTAATCCACAGCCAACACAATCTCCCTGTCTGTAATGATAGTAATTTAATTCCAATCAATATAAAGACTAAAATATAGCTACCACTAAGAATAGCAATGGGAAAAAATACTAGATGATGTGTTTACAAAAGTAGAACTGGCACTAATTTATTTTAAGTAAATTTACCTAGTATTCTTGGTAACCAAGATACTAGATATTAAAAAAAATCCAAGTTGGGCATGATGGCTCACACCTGTAGTCCCAGCATTTTGGGAGGCCAAGGCAGGAGTATCCCTTGAGCCCAAAAGTTGGAGACTAGCCTGGGCAACATAGCAAGACCGCATTTCTACAAAAAAATACAACAAAAATTAGCCAAGTGTGGTTGTGCATGCCTGGAGTCCCAACTACTCGGGAGGCTGAGGCAGAAGGATCTCCTGAGTCCAGGAGATCGAGGCTGCAGTGAGCCGTGATCATACCACTCCAGTCTGAGCAACACAGTGAAATTCCAACTCAAAAAAGTAAAAGGAAAAGGAAAAAAACAGTAGTTTATCATATGATGTAGTAATATGAGGCAATGCCAAATCAAGGGAAAGAACACTGGATATGAAATCATAAGAAATCATTTTTAGGATTAGCATGCTAATGTATAGTTATGGAAAATTACTAAGCCTCTGAGTCTCAGTTTTCTAATCTGTAAACTAAGAAAGTAAAAACACCAAATATTCTGTTAGCTCTAGAATTCTACGGTTATGCGGCTAAGTCAAGTACAAGACTGGTCCATTTTGTTTTTATAGTCTTCATTTATTGCAAAGGAAAACTCTGGGAGTCCTACATAATATCCCTTGATTCATATTAATAGTTTCCTGTGCAAGTTTCATAATGCCTCCCTTGTATTTACTACAAAGACAAATGATATAGTGGCTTGATGGATACATAGGGAGGCAGAATGATGTAAGAAAAGAAAACTTTTGGAGTCAAAAAGTCTGAGTTTAAATCCGAATTTCCCAAACTTGAGATGGTATATTACTGTCCCTCTCTGAGCCAGTCTCCTCAACTATCAAAGGGAAAAAATATCACCTATTTTGCAGAACTCTCCTAAGAATCAAATGAGATAACGTATATGAAGTTTACTTGCTACATTTAAGAGCCTGTTTTAGATCCTATTCCTATTGTTTTAAACATACCTCATAATGTGAAATCCTTTGTGACTTGAACCATAGAGCCACTCCACATACTTGACAAAAGTTATCTGTAAAAAGTTCAGTCTTTGCCTGTTCATTCCAAATGGTATCTATGAATAAATTAAAGAGAAATAAGACAAATATATTACTATTAATGAATATTTAGAGGTACCACTTTCATTCCTCAACTATATAATATCTCATACATCACTTCAAATTTGAGCGCTAGTGAAGCTACATTAATAACTTTTTTCTTGAGTATATAATTGAACTTGCACACACTAAGTATGCCTCTAATGTAAGTTTTGGCAACAGTTATTTATTTAGGATGATAAGTCTAGGCAATGCCATTCTAGGGGAATCATTATGGAGGCAATAGCAACTTTATGAGGTTCATGGAATAATTTGGGGTATCAGCAAAATTTTAAAATCCAGCCTTGATATTTTGTGTTTTACAGAAGACTACCCTAATCAATGCATTGTTTTAGAATTGTCTTTTGTCTTGAGCTATGGCTGCAATGTTATCTAAAAATTACATGGGACCACAACCCATCTTTGTTCATGGTGGGCAAATATCCTTCATCATTGTTCAAATATTAGCATACTCATCTGGCCAAACAAGTCGCACACAAAGTCCTTAAAGCTATAATGTAATGTTAATATGCAAAGATCTAAAAATTTATGCTATAAATTTATTTCTCATTATAATAAATAACACAAGCCAAAACATTCTGCATTTACACTTGAGGTCCACATGTTTATCTGAATTTCTTAACATCTTCAACATATTTTGCCAAGGTGCATTAGTTTATATATAGGGAATGAGTCAGAAAGCATCAAAATTCTGCTTGTTATTTGGCTATTTAAGTGAATAAATTGGTACCACATGTACTTTCGTGAAGCGATGCCAATGACATACTAAGTAAATGAACAGTTGCAGAACAAATACATCAATTCCCAACATTAGCAAAATTAAATATATGCATACACACACACACACACACACACACACACAGAAAAAAATAGAACAAAATAAATAAAACTTAAAAGTGGTTAACTTTTAAAAGTAAGTGGAGCTAGAAAGGAAACAAGGGGAGAAAATTTAAAATTTCACTCTTTATACAGCTGTCATTTTACTTTGTGCAAAAAATCATGTAAGACTTTCCAAGTAAAAACCAGTAGGAAGGTGGTAGAATAGGACTCTTCAACATTCATCTTCCCAAAGAAACATCAATTCAAACAACTACCCACACATGAGAATACCTTCACCAGAGGGGAAGAAAAACAGGCTAGAGATTACAGCACAAGGGTATAGCACAGAAAAAAGACACATTTAACAGAATGGGAAAAAAATATTTGCTAACTTTGTGACAAAGGCCTAACCTCCAGGATCTACAAGGAATTTAAACAAGCTGAAAGAAAAAAGACAAACAGCCCTATTAAAAAGTGAGCAAAGGACAGAATAGACATGTCTCAAAAGATGACATATGAGCAGCCAACAGATATATGAAAAAATGCTCAGCTTCACTGATCATCAGAAAAATGCAAATCAAAACCACACTGAGATACTACCTAACTCCAGTAAGAATGGCCATAATTAATAAATCAAAAAACAACAGATGCTGGCAAGGATGCAGAGAAAAGGAAACACTTCTGCACTGTTGGTGGGGGTGTAAACTAGTACAACCTCTATGGCAAACTGTGGTGATTTTTAAAAGATCTGGAAATTGACCTTCCATATGACTCAGCAATCTCCCTTCTGGAAATATACCCAGGGGAACTCAAATCATTCTACAAAAAAGATACCTGCACAAGTATGTTTATCGCAGCACTACTCACAATAGTAAAAACATGGAACCAACTGTGCTGTCCATCAAAAGTGAACTGGATAAAAAAATGTGGTGCATATACACAATGGAATATTACACAGTCATAAAAAAAGACAAAATCATGGATTTTGCAGCAACTTGGATAGATTTAGAGTCTATCATACTTAGTGATCAATCACAGGAACAAAGGACTGAATACCACATGTTCTCACTCATAAGTGGGTCCTGAATATTAATCACAATACTATAAGACAGGGATCAGCCATAGTGGGACACTGCCAGGGGAGGGGGACACATCCCATCACTAAGGGTACCAGATCCTAAACCAGGACAAGTGAAGACCACTGGGAGTCCCGAACTTCACATAAGACCACTTATGCACCTAATCTTGACTTGTATCCCACATTTTAAAAATAAAACGAAGAGGGGGAAAAGAGGATAAGGATAGTTTTACACCACCAGTATCACCTATCCGACAACCCCAGGCAGCATAGCATAGAGAGAAATACTATGTGGGGAATGGAAAGGGACATGAGCACTTAACTGTGCTTCCAGTCTCAAAACTGGGCTCGTCCCGGTAATATCCAGCACTAGGCAGGCCCCCTCAGCTCAACTCCAGGTTGATACCTGTGTATTGAGACTCTAGGCCTGCCTCAGCACTAAGTGAAAACTTGTAGCCCCCAGTTCCAGGTCTGCACAGCAAACTCCACCTCCATCTGACTCTGTCTCCATCTCCAGGTTGCCTCAACATCAGGCCAGCCACAGTGATCCCAAGCCCCAGACCGCCCCCAGCACCAGACTGGCCCCTATGGTCCCAGCATTAGGCCAACACGCAAAGCCTTAGTCATAAGGCCAACACTTGTGGACCCAGCCTGTAGACTCGGCCCTGTAGATATAGGTTCCAGGAGGCTAGTATCCATGGATTAAGCCTCCAAGTTCACCTCAGCACCAGACAGGGTCCCACAGCCCAACTCCCCAGGTTGGTTCCTGCAGCCCATGCTGGAGCCCCTGCAGCCCAACATTCCAGCAGACCAGGGTCCAGGTCTGTCCCAGTAGACCCCAGTGTTGGACCAGCCCCTATGAACCCAGGATCCAGGACTATCTCTGTGCAACCAGGGCCCAAGCTGACCCCCTAAGGCCCATAACCCAGGTTAGCCCTTGTGAGCCTAGTCTCTAAGCCAGCAAATGCACACCCAAAGCATGCCACTAGAGAAAACCATTGAATCACAAAGGAAAACAGCATGAGAAGGAAAAAATGTCAAAAATATCTACAAAACAACTAAAAAACCACTAATAAAATGGTAGTAGTAAGTCTTTACATTTCAATGATTATCTTGAATGTAAATGGATTATGTTCTCCAATCAAATGATACAGAGTGGAGGATTAGGTAGGAGGATTGCTTGAATGCAAGAGTTAGAGAGCAGCCTGGGCAACATAGGGAGACTGTGTCTCAAAATAAAAAAAAATTAAAAAGATGTAGAATGGCTAAATGGTTAAAACAGGAACAACAATATGCTGCCTACAAGAGATTCGGTTCACTTCACAAAACACATACAGATGGAAAGTGAAGGAACAGAAAAAGATATGCCATGCAAATGGAAACCAAAATAGAGTAGGAGTAGCTATACTTAGATAAAGAACATTTAAATATTTATTTTCAAAGTTATATTAGATATCTTCAACTAAAATTATTTTCAATACCACTG